CGCAAAGTGGCAATGGAAAGAGGGAAAAAAAGAACTGAACACTGCCTGAATGGCAAAGTGGCAATGGAAAGAGGAAAAAAGAACTGAACACTGCCTTAATGGCAAAGTGGCAATGGAAAGAGGAAAAGAGAACTGAACACTGCTTTAATTGCACAATCGTAATGGAAAAAGGAAAAAAGGAGCTGAACGCTGTCTGAATTCCCTGATTTACATCACAGTAGTAGTGCCCCCACTCATCCAGAAAAGCTGACAAATTTTAATGTTCATAACAAGATACCGAAAACTGTGAATTCTCTAAATTGAAAGTCCTAGCAGAATCTTTCTCCAAGTTATGTGTTCAAGTTTCAACCAAAATAGCTGAATTTTTAAACTAGTGACACATAAATGATATAAAACTGAACATTTGGAAGTGTAAATATAGAAAGGTTTGCAAATAAATGTTTGACCTAAAATATACTGAAATATAGCAAAGTCTGAATATTTTTGCATTCTGCTTTTAACGTATTGAAATTCGTTTTTGTTAGTTAAATACATGCAAATGTGCCCTCTGACCTTTTTCGAAATTGCGCAATCCTAACCTTTAAATATAAGTTCCGAAATTGTATCTATCAAGAGGCCTGTGGCCTGGTGGTTAGCTTGCTGGCCTGCCAGGCCAGGGGACCCTGGTTCAAAACCTGAGGTCCCCGGAAAAGGAGTTTTTTTTTTTTTTTTTTTTTTTTTATATACTAAGTTTTTTAACAAAATTGTGCATGCCCACCTGGGATTGAACCCAGGCCCTTGTGCATAGCAGTTTGTGTCCTTAACCGCTATGCCATGGCACTTTCTTGAAAAAATGTGCTCGTTTCTAAATATTAAACCTTCCATTGTTTGGACTTAGAATATTTTTCTGTCAAACTGTGTAAGGGAGATGGGCAAGGGTGGAAGTCCTAGGGGCTGGGAGTCTGAGAGCGGATAGGATGGGTAAAGTGGATGGCTGAGGACTTGGGACTCTCAGTATTAGAGCTCTGAGGATCCCATGGGGCTTCTTAATATTGCTATTGGGCTTATTGTAGCCCTTATAAGATTGAGACTAAAAGGCTCCAAGAGGGAACTTTATATAAGGAGCTTGGAAGATGTTTAAGACTGGTAGTGCTTTCATGTAGGATGAGGCTGTAATGCAATGTAAAATCTAAAGATGGAAACAGATGTACCTTAAACTCTGGCAGTGTAAAATGGTCCAGATTATGAGAAAGGTTAAGTGGCAAATTACAGTTTAACAAATAGATACACATGTACAAACAAGTTGTTCTGCTAGTTTAAATAAATGAGCATTTATTTCATTTGCAAATAGAAATTAACTGGTTATAGCAATAAATGGTGATTGTTTGACATACACACAAAGCATTTTTGCAAGGTAATATTTTCAAATGAAACAAACTTCATGTCAGTGCTAAAAGGTCCTTAGAATGCACTAAAAGGTGTTAGGTGAAAATATTGTTTTAGACATTAATCTCGGAAACAGAATTGCTTAAATTTGAACACATTGGCTTCAAAAAACTAGTTTCATGACTAAAAAAAACTGTTTAAATCAAATACTTCTTTCGTGCACAGAGTAAGGCCCTTAGATTGCACAACTTCAAAATGGCCCCCTTTCACTCTCTTTGCAGATAAATTAAGGATGGGATGACTCTGAGGCAAGGGGGTGAGATACTGGGAGTGTCTTAGAGAGTTGGGGGGGGGTTACAATGACATTTATGAGACTGGCCAGTACTATACAATGTAAGTGTAAAATGATGTACACTTCTCATTTAGGACATTTGAAAAAAGTGAAATATTGGATCTTTTACCATTTTGTGTTTTTACAGATAATCATAAAAATATGTGACTTGGGGGAAGATTTGCAAAGAGATACAAGTCCGACATTGCATTATTTCTCTGAATAAAAGGGTCTCAACAGTTACATGTAATTTTTTCAAAGTGCTTCATTTCTGTGAGTCAGAATCATAAATACTGCCCTCACATTACCGCAATATCATTCTAACTCCTGAACAGCGCCCTCACATTACCGCGATATCATTCTAACTCCTGAACAGCACCCTCACATTACTGCGATATCATTCTTACTCATAAACAGTGCCCTCAAATTCCGATATTTTAATTCCTAAACAGTTCCCCCACATTACCGCGATATCATTGTAACTCCTAAACAGCCCCTCACATTAAAGCGATACATCATTCTAACTCCTAAACAGCGCCCACACATTACAGCAATATCATTGTAACTCCTAAACAGCGCCCTCACATTCCCACGATATCGTAACTCCTAAACAACACCCTCACATTAGAGCGATATATCATTCTAACTCCAAAACAGCACCCTCACATTACCGCAATATCATTCTAACTCCTAAACAGCGCCCTCACATTACCGCGATATCATTTTAACTCCTAAACAGCGCCCTCACATTACCCCAATATCATTCTAACTCCTGAACAGCATCCTCAGATTACCCTAATATCATTCTAACTCCTGAACAGCACCCTCACATTACCCCAATGTCATTTTAACTCCTGAACAGTGCCCTCACATATCCTAATATTATTCTAACTCATAGACAGCGCCCTCACATTACACCAATATCATTCTAACTCATAAACAGCGCCCCCACATTACTTGGTTAAAAGTCAATTTTTATACATCATTATCAGGGCCGTAAAGGACCTGGACAAGGTGCTGACAAAATTTTTCTTTTAAGTGTCACGAGACTTCAGTCCTCCGTTGAGGAAGTTTCTTGTTTTGATGCAAGAAAATAGCCAAATGACGCTCAAATTTTGCGATGTGAATACCATTTGTTTCAATTATTAATCACTACGTATCATCTTTTGATCCTTTGAATAGTGTACAAATGTAGATAGACTTGCTCCATCACTAAGGCTGAGTTAAGGCGGCTTGTTCTCGTCTGTTCACTATTTGTTGTTCTAGGGTCGGCCGCTCGATGCCGGAAACTTACAAGCGGTTGTCGCTGATAGTTAATGACAAGCAACATGCAATGTGGCGTTATATGTACGTTATTCAAGTGTTAATGTTTGTATTATTCTTTTCTATTTAAACAGGAACATTCCTTTCTGTGTTATGGCAAATGCTCGATATTAATTTTGCAAAACTTCCAGTTGTCTCTGGCTTTGTAAGCCATCTCTCTACTTTTTGCAGCTGTTCAAAAATCAAAATCTCATGAGTTTTTCCATGTGTTCCTGTAAAACCCTGACAAAGAGGTGGTGTGTGATCCTGTTCCGAGAACAATGTTCTTGAGTCGTGTTCCCTACGTTCGAGCGCGAGAACAAGTAACCCATGTAAAGAACAGGCCGCCTGAACTCGACCAATGGTGGAAGCAAGGAACTGCATCTCTGCGAAGATCGAGTCCTTTTCTTGCCTTTTTGTGAATCAATGCCTTAGATTCTGATGAGGATCTCTCATGCAATCTTGGAAACTGTTCCTCCTCAGTGATGGAGGTGAGAACTGGCATCTATCTGAGTTACTTCCTCTTCTTGACATTCTCATGAATCATCTCTGTGAAGTCCCATAGAATCTTGTCCTCCATCTTCCTTCTCTACACTTTGAAGGAGGCGAGGGCGCTATTCTCCTGGGGCATACCCACAGCTTTCATATGAGGAGGTCTGGGGAAGAAATTAACCACAAAAAGAACTAAGTTGGAGCAAAGATTGAGACCTTTCTTTTAAAAAATTATTAAATTAATATGACACCTTTTATTTTATAAAAAACTGTGTCTATTGCTTTTCATCCATTTTCATGTCCGAAAATAAACTATGACAAAAGGATTCCTTTGACACTGCTGACCCATTACTTCTGAAAGCATTTGTGATTTGTACTCTTTGTTAAAATATTTTCCAGACACCCCATTAGAGTTTAATGAATCAAAAAATGACATTTTGAAACACTTAAAATTGTCTTTCCCTTTTCTTAACAAGTGAGGGTGCTGTTTTACAGTAATACTGTAATGCCAATCAGGGAAGACCACAAACCTAAAATATCTATGGACCAGCAGGTCCTACAGAAATCAACAACTGATCCCAAAAGCGTAGGCAGAAATATTTCAACAGTGTGCAGAAGTCTCTTGAGTTGGATATAAATCAGAAATGTTGAATGGTGACTGAAAATACTGTTAAGCGTTTATAACATGGTCCCTTTTGTGTTTTGTTCAATATTTGTCAAAATTATAAAGGTAGATCCTTCTTTAAATAAGAGCTCTGAACACTTAAATTTTTGTCCATATTCATTTCTCACCTTCAAAAAGCCTGAACTAATCCCATGATGTATGTGATTTCAATTTTTACACTTTATTTTTGAAATGTTTTAGAAACACAGTTCTCAGTGCTCTATCAGAGAAAACTTGAGAAAATATGTTAAATTTGCTCACTAAACAACAGGGATGTCAGGAATTTATCTGAATTTCATATAATGTGCACCTACGCTTCTACTAACGGCTTGAAACAATGGGCAATATTATGAGGAAGAAAAATTGAACTGTGCTGGGTTCGAACTTTAATAAAAAGACCAACAGGGCCAAATAATGTTTGATGGACAATTGCCACAGTTGCCCCCGATCCATCTTCTTTGATGTAGAGAAATGCTGCACAGCAAATCATGAAACCCCAGGGGACAAGGCAGCCATTTGCTCAAGGAGACTTTCATTAAATTATACCTTTGCTGTTGTCGGTATAAAGGTATTTTACGTATATGATTAGATGCTTCATTTCAACCCAAATTGCTCCTTGAACATGTCTCAGGAAATGTGGCCCATTGATCAACGGTAATTTGTCATGAAACAGCAACGAACCATGAAGCAAAAGGAACTTTAGGCCAGGAAAATGTAAACAATTCCAATATAGTGGGTGCACTCAACTAGCTTGCCCTGGTTACAAGGGTTTAACCTCATCCCTATCGTCTTGATTGGTTGACACAATGCAAACAACCTGATTCTGGGGACCAAGTTGTTTTTTATTTTTAAAGTTGTTTGAGGGGTTAGGCTACATTTCCACTTTTCAAAAGAAGGGAAATTAAATAGACTAAAAAGATCCTTTCATTTTTTCAAATGAAAACAATTTTGCTCCTTTTTTGGACATGACCCAAATTGGCCCCTCCCCCATCCTGGATTAATCTTTGCAGAAAGCCAGCAATGATATGAAACACAGGACTCTTACCTGTGCTACTTATGACGTAAAAGCCTCTTCACTTTAGAGATTCATCTGTCAGTCCACTCGCACCATGACGCTAGCCAGCCTCAACGTTCATGTAGGCAGCAACGGCAGTACATTCACCTGGCAATGAGGCCTTCCCAAATCTAAACACAGGGAAAAATGACAAATAACTACAAGAAAAGGTCACCTAAGGTTTTTCAGGCACACTGTAATAATAATTGTTTCCCTAAATGAGCAAAACATCCACATTTCAACCCATCACCACATAGACTCTTATTGTAGGTTGCTGTTAAATCCATAAAACCATACAGTGCTGGGGAGTGCAAGGTGTAACAGGCTGGGTGGGGTCAGGGCCCAATTTCATGGGGCTTCTTAACACAGTCAGAAGAAAAATCGTGCTAACTTTAGCAGAAAAAGGGGCTAACCTTGAGCACTTTTTCATGGTAGTGCTCGGGGTGGTTGTGCTAATGTTTGCGTGCAGATAGAGATTTCTGTTATTACATCACTAAGTTTAAGCAAATCTTTCCTCCAAGGTTAGAATGCATTTGGCTGTACATGTACTTACTGCCAACAGGTATGCATGAAATACACAGAGCCTCTTTAAGCATGAAATTGTGTGCTAAGCAGTGCCGAGAAATTGGGCCCTGATTGTTACAAGCAAGGTTCCCAAGAAATCTGAAAATTGAATTCAGTGACGTTCCTGCACTTTCCAGAACTAAAATATGACAATTTCCATGGTATTTAATGCCTTTCTGCACAGAAAATTTGTTTGGTATAATAAATGGGAAGACTGCCATAGCCACTATACATAACCACCATCAAAATCACCCTTGTACAATCTTGATTTCCATGACTTTCCCTCAGACCAATTTTCTGTGAGTTTTCCAAGACTTTAATAAAAAACAAAGACAATGAATCCTTTCAGCTTTTACTGTTGTCACAGCAACATCCTTCATTTATTATTGAAGCTCCCTTAAACTGCGCGCCCCCTAACTGAGCTCCCCTGTGCGCCCCCACCCCCTAAATGCGCGCCCCCTAACTGCGCCCCTCGTAACTGCACCCCCCTAACTTTGACACAGTTTGATATTTTGCCTCCAGAGCCTTGCAACGTTTTTACCTCAAATTTCAAAGTAAGTGAAATTTCATCCAACTCCCACTAATCTAATTTAAAATTCCTGATTTTACTCACCGGCTACAACTTTCCAATGAAATTTTTATTTTGGCTCAATTTTCCAATTTGTTTTCCTTCCGTGCAAAATGGACACTACTAAACCTACCCAAAAATTATAAATAATTTTCTAACACACTTTGTTTAAGTGTATATAAATTGAGGTAATAATAGAAATTATCATGTTTACAGAACTTCTCAAATGTTTAGGTGGACTTTTTGGCGGATTTTTTCAAGTACATCACGTGAGGGAACACTCACAGTCAAGATGCAATGGCACGATTACTTGATATCCTCGATGTTAGTCAAGATGTAGGCCTACACGTACATGTACAGAAAGAAATCCATTACTGATGCCACTAAAATTTCCCTACAGTGGCCTAACATTATTAGTATACATGTAGGTACTAGCAGCCATCTCAAAGCAATAAAAAAGTGTCCTAAAAGGTCAAAAAATTAGAAGTGAAAATGTTGCTGGTATTCACTTAGAAAATACTTTGACCAGTGTCCTAAGGTTTCTTCCTCCATGGTCCATTTGTGCAAAGGGTGTCAAGCCGCATCCATGTTACATCAACAATTATTTATTTTATTTATTTATCTGATCATCCAACAGCGCATTTAGCGCCAATTACAGGATGAGAATGAGTGAAGAAGACAATGAAGAGATGTTCAGGTGTCCAGTTCGGAAGGAAAGCCAAGATAAGTATACATCACCATACATCATGGAATTGATTGAGCAGAAGCACCCCCTCATTGGTTGAAAAGAGCCATGTCATGCATGTTGGTGGGGAGAGTTCATTTACTGATAGTGACGCAATCATGATGATGTACTACATAGTCTCCTGTGGTTCAGTTCCCACCAAAGGAGCCTCCGTTGCTAGGAAAATTGTGCCATCTCATGGTCCCACCCATGTCTCATACAAGTACATGTACATGTATATAACCCTAACTGGAGAGACCGAAATTGCCGTCTAGTCTGGGATTCTACCTCCATGGTCTGGGCTAGGTAACAGGCCCAGGCTGAGAATAAGAACATGATTGATGGAGAAAAGATATTCGCCATGTTTAGGAGGTTTACCCCAAGAACTGTAGGATATTCTAAAGTCACTAATCTGTGTGACTTGCGGCCATGTTTGTTTACATGGGGTTGCAATGCTATCTAGTTTTTTTTAAACCAGCCTTTGAGGTATCATCATCGGTGATGCAAATTCAACCTTAAGGTACCTATATGTACATGTATAGCTCTTGAAAACTTTGCAATTAATGCAGGTTTTTAGACTTTAAGACCAATCTTATTTTGAAAACTTGGAGGGTTACTCATGTATCTCCCGTTTTCTTCCCAACAATCACATTGTACTGAACAATCTGCATGCATCACACGCTCAGTGCACACGTATGTGCGCAAATTTAGCAAGGTCAGTTTGTCCATATATCCAGGAGGGGGTGGAATCTTGTTATTATCGCATGAGTGGCCTCTAATGAGCTGTGTGACTGGAGTGATACCATCAGGCCAAGTGCTTTGCTAGCTGTGACAGGTTAAACAATGCCACCTGTTTTCCTATTTTGCGCATGCCACGGCACCACAGACATATAAACGCATAGACCACCAGTCATGCATGGTAAAATAAAGTAACAAATCGGGGAGGGGGGCTTGGTCCAAGTCCTGGTAGCCAAGTTCTCATTGCTGAGTCCGAGTCCAGAAGATCTAAGTCTAAATTCAAGTCAGAGTCTTTGAAAATCCACTCATCTATCTCCACAGCAAGTGACAAAAACTTAACACAGAAGTTACTAGTATATCAGGAACCAAGTTTTTCATTGACTTTTGCGTTGGGCTTAATACATGTAGGCTAACATATAGTTTGTTTGCATGTTTGTAAATAAAGTGTACATGCAATGTTAGAATTCTGGAAATACGCGTACTTTAATACAGGTATGCTAAGGTGTGCTGAAACTAGCTTGGAAGATTTTTATTCATGCTGCAGCCATGTGCCTGCCTTCCAGTTATGATGAGAAGGTTGACTTGGGACCGAGTTGACCTGAGACGGAGTTGGCTCGGAGTGTGTTGATTCCACATTTCCAGACCAAGTTGGCAACTTCACACTGATGAGTAGACTGTGTGTTTACATTACCATGTTTTGCCGGACCATCTCCGAATCTTTAAATAGGCAATTTGTAGAGTCTACATGGTCGGTCTAAGTTGCTCAGACTATTATTAACTCTGATCTACATCATCCTGATGCAATCGTGTCAAATATCATTTCAACAATTCAAATACGCACAGCATGCCAAAGCGAAGATGGGGTTGTTGTTGTTGGGCTTATATTATGGGATGGCTTACTATTACAGCTGCATGTGGGCACATCATCACACCCAACGACTTGCTTGGGAGGGATAAACAATTTGCAAGATGTGTGCAAAATCTAAGTGGGCACACTAGGCCTACTAAACTAAAGTTACTCGTGTCATTTTCACAGAAATGGGTCGTGTACATGTACGCCATGCCTAGTGTTGATCTTATTTCCTAGTCCTTCCAAGTACCATGCCTACTCTTTTCCTTTCTCTGTGGTCTAGTTACACCCCAACTACAACATCTGTCCCAACTACAGTTGGGACTGTCCCAACTAGAGTGCTATAGTTGGGCCCGCCAAACTACAGCACAGAGGTCTAGTGTGCATGTGGGGATGTGTCCAGCATGTGTCAAAGTCACCGTGACATTCATTGTTCACAAGGTCATGTCATGGTTGAAGTGCCATACTATTTTAGATGAACTGTGTCAAGTGTAAAATGCATAAACTTGGATAAGGTTGAGAAAATTTCTATAAAAATTGGTCAACAATCATGACAATAGTTGGGCCAGCCCAACTGCTGCACTACAGTTGGGACTGTCCTAACTGTAGTTGGGACAGATGCTATAGTTGGGGCGTAATACAGTCTCAACAAGGACCATGTCCTCCATGGTTACGTTAATGAAGACAACGTCCAACCTGGGCTAGGCATACCCCCAGAACTGAGGGGTCCGACTTTCGCTCCTCTTCGTGGGAGACGAGCGGACGTTGGACCCCACAGTTCTGGGGGTAGACTAGGCCTATGAATTTTATTCCTGTAAAAGCAAAATACATTGTACTTACTACATGTGCCAGCGATTCCTCAGAGACTAATTTCTTACTTCTTGTCATGAGGATGCACAAAGTTTCGAAAATAAACGGATTAAAGCGACCACCCTGCGCTCAGTATATCCTACACACGAGCACGTGCGCGTGCCACACCGTACCCTCGTACTGTACTATCGTGTTATTGTTTGCAATCTTGTCGACCCGGTTGGTTTTTGATGCAGCGCGCGCGAGTGAGTTTTGCGTAGTGACGTCATGCACGGATGCCTAACAGGCAAAATTAAATCATGGCTGCCTCCATAGCGCTGCAAAAGTTCAGAGGCCGCATGCTCATGAACGGAATGTTTCGGTCTAAAGTCACTCTCCCTCAACGGTTAAAAGAAGGATGGTTTGGTAAAGCAGGTAGGTTATTCTCCGTCATTAGTTTTCTTTAGATTTAATATTCACAGCATGTTGGACGGCAAGTGAGGCGGTAGCTGATTTTTTTAAAGTTAAACAGAAGGCCTGACCCGCGCCATTCCTGCATGATCACCTGCCGCCCAACTGACCGTAAAAACAGGCATAGGCTTTGGCCTATAACTTTCTACCCCTAGAACTAGGCCTGTGTGGTTTATCGTCCACCGCTGTCCCACGAACCTCACAGTTTTGTTCAGCTTGCGAGACAGCTTGGTTTTGTAATGCAAAATTATTCATGTTGGGCCCAACTGGCAGACTGGCGAAGTATCTATCTAAGCTATTTAACTTATCGATAAGCCTTATCTCTAATCTGCAAGAGTAATTTTGTGCAATTATTATGTTATGCCTCAGCCATGCCAGCTGTAACATTTGTCTCAACTATAGTTAAGACCGTCCCAACTCTAGTTAGGACCGTTCCAACTCTAGAAGGCTGTAGTTGGGCCAGCCCAACTGCAACACAGGTTCAGTGTGCATGTGTCCAACATGTGAAATTGGTCAACAATAGTTGGGCCAGCCCAACTGCAGCACTACAGTTGGGACCTACTAAAGTTGGGACAGATGCTATAGTTGAGGCGTAACAACGACAATAGTATAAGGGAAAAAGGGGCAATGTTTGCCCCATTTTCCTTCCCACAATGCCTTTCCAAAGATGTGCAAAATCAGCCATGCGGTATTAGCAATAAGGCCTATGGAAAGAAGATTTTTTCAACATGCATATGTATACAAGTATTATCATCTCAATAAAGGTCAGTCATTGCAGAAATGCTGTATGCCCTCTATGGCCAAAATTGGTAAGAATTTTCCATTAATTTTCAGTATGTGTCAACAGATTCGCTGAATTCATTCATAGCCACGGGAGAAGACAGAGTGGCACAAAGTTAATTTAAGTCCCAATCCCTGGATCTGATCTATTCAAGAACCTGATCCCGAAAAGAGCTGATTGACATTGTTGAGATTATTGTATCAGGAAGCCTGTTCCTATCTCTTCATGTTCTGGGCACAGAGGAATTTCTGTGCACTTCAGTTCTGCCATGCGGCAAATCAAGTTGAGAATTATTTCCAGTGGCTGTTCGACGTGGTTTTGTAGAAGCATTGACAACAGACTTCGGAATGGCAGATCCTCCCATACATATTCGTTTCATCAGGATCAATCTAGCAGCTTCACAATGCTGTTAACTATGGTCTCCACCATTGTCCACAAAGAGACTTCTTATTTCTTTGTCCTTACTTCAATGCCTTGGCATTGTGAAAAGAATTATTGGGACTACAAACAACTATTTGGGACTTACCTTACTTTTCACAGACTGATAAGGTGTGGTAAATTGTGATAAATTGAACAAAATTAAAGACTTCAATGAAACCAAAATATTGAGGTGTTCCAATGGGAAGACTATGATATAAAAGAATGGCCTTTCGCTATTGAGAATCATGTGTCGGAAGGATTTTGGTTCCCCATATTCATTTCCAATGTGAAGATTTCCCCACCCCATCAACTGTATTTCAGTCTGAAAGATGTACATAAACCAAACATTAAATTTAAATGGTCTTTGTTGTATGCAAAACTACTATTAAGTTCATTTCTGTTCACGCTGTTGACCTTCCAGGACCCGGCCAATGTTTTGCTTATTTTTGTTCCCAGGTACCTATATTGCAAACATTCTCCGGGACTACAAGGGCGCCACATTAGACATATTCACTGATGCCAGAGAGCGTCCAATCAAGGCCACCATCTACATAGCCATCCTTGGCTCTGCAGCCATAGCCGCATGGAACAACCCAGACGAGCAGTCCTACGACAGGTCTCTTTTGGACGCCCGCAATGATGTGCTTCTCCTCAGCGACCCCATCCGCAACCGGGCCTCGGACCGGCACCTGCAGGGGCTGATGGAACTGCGCAACCAGGGACGGATCCGGCGTTTGAACCTGGTGGTGTGCTGTGTCATGTGGCGGGACGATTACAGTAAAGCGCTAGGGCGGTACGACTCGCAGTGCGAGTACCTGCGGCCCAGCTGGCGGGACTTTAACCAACGCGTCCTGGACGTTGGCCTCATGAACAGGTGGTATTACCTGGAGAAGGCCATGGTAGACTATGATGTGAACGACGAAGAGTTTGCCACGACAGACAGTTAGCTGGCACATTCGACACGTATGAACTTCAACAGTGAATATGACCATCTCTGAATCACTTGGCTGTGGCTTGAAGTTACACACAATTCTATTGGAAGTGGCTTCAGCCACAACCATAGATGGAGATCCAGTGCCTTGGGCTTATGACATGGAGAGAGTCCAATCTGTTGAGCTTTTGAACGATTGTGTAAAAGGTCCTAGATGATGCGTACATGTAAAACAACACGAGCCCTGACCATTCTGACCCTATGCATGTTTCGCGCGTGCCCTTTCAACATGTTTTTCGGGCTCGCTGCATGACGACTATTTTATGGAGTAGTGCGAGCGCTCTGTTCTCTGTGTTTGTTTGCCAAAACTGACACAGAATGGAGCGCGCTCGCGCTGCATTATAAAATGGTCACTGTGCAGGGAGTTGGGAAAACAAGTTCAAAGGTTGTGTGGGCGGTTCTGTTGGTCAAGTCTGCATGTACTTCAAGCATGCAATTTCTTCACGGCATGCAATCCAGCTCTATCCACCGAGAGCAAGAAGCACCCCCTCATCGGTTGATAAGAGCCAGTGTTGGTCAGGAGTGTTCATTTTGTTGGTAGCGATTCAACTGTTATGCGTGCACTTCTTAGTTGTTTGTGAACCAGCTAAGTGCAGTCCCTACCAAAGGAGCCTGCATTACTAAGATGATCGTGCCCTCTCTTGGTCCAGTTCGGGGGCTCAAACAGTAAATCTCTCCATGTCATGAGCCCATAGCACTAGATATTTCAGTCTGCCCTCGACTCATCCTCAGATCAGTTGCTGAACTGACCTGAGTGTCCAATTAACTGTTGCACCGACAGCATTCAAGAAACTTCAGTGTGTGCCCAGAGATGGACAGCACTACAGGGGTGAGCAACCACACAGTCCAAGGAGCGCCAAGCTCATTCATCATCTTATGAGCAAATTAGCTAACAGCAGAAGGCGTTTCTACCAAGCTGCTAGGTTTGATTGAGCCCAGCTGTCTAGTATCCTGCCAACTTGGGAGACATTACACCAAAAGAGCAAAGTCCATAGATAACATGCAGTCTTTTTCACATTTATCTTCAATCTTGCTTGGTTAACATATGAGTTTATCTCCCCTTTGGGAAAGACTTTTTTCTTCCAAGAAGTTCACGTATAGTTTTTGGACATCCCAAGGGCATATGGCACCCATGTCATGGAAAATCAATGGACCACAGACTTGTACATGTATATTGACAGCAGAAAAGGAAGGTCTTGTGTCATGGTACATAAATCTTAATTGTACTTGAGCTGTGAGATATCCAAGTGCCCACTTGGGAATGCTTTTTACATCTTTTGCAGCCAATCTAAGGAAACAAAATTCAACTAAAAGTCTAGTGCATGGATGATGGAGAGAAAGTAGATCTTCATGCAGTTGTACATAAATAAGAAATAAGATAAAAATTGTAATACATCTCTTACAAGTCACAACCTGTTTTAACTTTGGCAGTGAATTGCTATTTCAATTTGTGAATGAGTTGACTGAATTTCAGTATCTTGGACTTTAGTTCATGAGTAGAGTGCCAACTCTCGTACAAAGTGAAGCTTGATAGGCACACAAGTCTGTGCCTTTGAACAGTACGGCAAAATTGCAATTTAGTACAAAGTTCTGTACTAATCTGTATTTATATTCCATGCGACTATTTGTCATGCATTATGTTAATCCTAACCCCCGAGGGACCATTGAAATTATGCAGAATCCTCTCAGATTTGTCACGACAGCCAGAGTTGGTATGCATGTGGTATTTGTTTTACTTGCATGCTGCATACAGAATTCCACTCCATCTCATGTCAATGTGTTCTTTTCCAGACTGATATTTGCTATCTCCATGAGATGCTTGACAAGTCCTGATATACAAGCACAGCAATCAAAATTTAATTTTTCTATTTTCTTATTCATATTGAGTAATAAAATTTAATTGCCTTTTATGGGAAATGCAAAAAACAGGTATGCATTGGAAAGTAGACCCATATGACCGTGCATGTGCAAGCTTGTACGGTGTTGTGACCCACTCTGTGAGAATCAGTCAGAAGGCTATGTTGTTTTGGTTCACATAGGAAAGAGCAAGCTCGGCTCATTGTTTTTAAATACACGTATCGCTCATTTTGGCATCGTAATGATAATGCACGTAGAGTGGGCCAAAAAAATGTTGACCGCTCCTTTTGATTTCCTCGATGCAAGAGTATTTGGAGGATACTCAATTACTCAGCAATGCTGGCGACTGGTGATTTATTTTCAAAGAAAGGGCCCATTTTTATACTGCTGTGTGTACAGAACTGTTTCCTGTGATACCGAAAGAAATACATTTTAAGTACACACTGTCGTGATTTCATGGCACCGACAAAGTGTGGCAAATCCCAGCAGTAAGATATCGAGCTGCAGTTGGCACAGTGATGACTGGTACATTGACAGTGGAATGCAAATTTAGAAGCTTAACTGTTTGTTGGAATTGGAAAGTGTAAAATCAGAATTGTTAGAGAGTTATTTATTTATGCAAGTTATACTTGCATTTTAAAAGGGACAAATTTCCATCTACTATTGCTGACAACTGTGCAGGATCGACTTGGTTGCTATACAAATTCTACATTCAAACAAGTCTACATTCACATATTTCACAGCAAATATTACATGCGCAGAAAAAACAGGAACACTTTATCATCGGCTGCACCAGGAAGTTGACACACTGTGAATGTACCATACAATCCTTAGAGAAATGAGATTATTTTGTACAACATAAATATAAGTTACTACTCTTATCCCATGGTAACATACGACACTATACTCGTACAGCGTCTCCTTTCAATATTTACAACTTCAAAGTTTTTACATCAACATTGAATTGGGAACAAAAATCTGTTAACATTCTTCAGGATATGACAAATACTTCCGTCTGTGCCCTGGTACTTAAGTACATGGGACATAGGCAATAACCTGCTTGGCATCATGGTTCAGAAACTGGGGTTAATGTGGCAGGTTAGTGCGTATCTCTCAGGGAGTACATGACTTGCTCTTCCTGAATTAAAGATTAGCTAGTTCCACTTACCCTGTCATGTTTGGGTGGATCCGAGAACAAAAAAGGTCCACACATGCTGGTTTGTATAAAACCTTGTGTGGACCAAGCTGGGTTCATGAACGTTTCCCCAGCTCTCTAAAAAACAGTTTTAAGGCATTTCAGGAGGTTGGGTCATCTACCAAAAAAGTGATGAAAAGCAGTCAAGGTACAAATTCTAGACTGGAAGCTCCTCTACATTGCAAGAACAACTTTCGTTTTTTTTTTCTGTAAGTTTTTTTGACTGCTCGGGAACAGAACGAGTCTCCACACAGGGCTTAAATATAAACTTGGGTGTGACCGCTTGGATAGTATAGAACATATCCACTTATTTTTAAAACAGAAAACCCTGATGTGAGGATGGGACAGTTCATAGGGAGATGGCACAAAAGAGCGTTAGTTGTTCTACGCTGGATTAAGTCACTGCTATTCTTGCTCTCTGACTGCTGTTCCGTCAATGATCAACTTGTGAACGGACACAAAATGGTCAAAGCCTGATTTGATGATGAATTTCATGTGACGGGCGCCTGTGGAGTCAAACTGCACAAAAAGGAAGCAATCAGAATATGTGACATTTTACAAAATAGAGTGAAGTCAACCTCTGTCTGGTGAGGCCAGTTGAGACTCTGTGTGCTTGTGAAGGTAAATGCAAATTCTAAATCTCAAAGCTTTTGGTGGCAAATTGGTATAATTCGGCCTGTGTTTATCTCCGACAAATTCACAAGCTAGTCTTTAACGAGTAAATCGTTCCAGCAGATGCATTTTCTGTTTGCTAACGTCATGCTGTAATGAACTGTTCTTGCCGTTTGCAGTTGAGTCTATACAACTTCAGCAAGTATAATGTGGAGTAGGGTGAATTCTAACGCCAAATTAACGATGATGTGGGATGAGCTTTTTCACATGGGTGGGAGTCTCTACACTGGACATCGTTCCAAAGTACCAAATTTCATTTAACTAAGATTTGAGTCCGAGTCCCTTTGTAGAAACTTATTTTTGGACATTCACGCCAGGCATTGTGCTCAAGCATTCAAATTACTACCACTTAAAATGTACACAGCACTCTTCCGTAGGGGTGATTCACAACATAGTGCGCCACCAAGACGTTGGTCAGTGAGAGGCCATTTTTCAATTTTAGGGTTGACAAAAGCGTGGCCGCCTTGCCAGAAGTTGCATTTGAACGTATGTCAGTAGATGGCTCAGGGAAATGCTTGACAGATTGGGACACTCCGTGCAATAGAAGGAAGAAAGGATCAAAAGTGATTGCTACTCAAAACCAATATCTTCTTCCCTGACGAACAAATTTCAAAAATAATTCAAGCATCCCAGTGGATAGAATGTCAACCATTTCCCACAATGCACTATGAAAAGTGGCCTTTCCTTGGCAATTTCTTGGTGGCGCACTGCATTGTGAATCGTCCTTATTGTTACAATACTCTCATATTTTAGGGACCTTTTTGGACATCTAGAATAAGAGTTGACAACAGTCTGGCGACTGGAACACACCTTGAATTCCTCCATCTGCAGCGATGCATCCGATGGCGTCAGTTCCTTCTCTTCAATCACTTCAAAGTCGGAGGGCTCCTTCTGGACACTCCGCTGTATGCTCAGACCTTTGACTGTGTCACCAGGAGACGATAAGAAAAGGAAGGGCTTCTAAATGATTTAAATCTCACACTAGCAGGCAATATTCGAACAAGAAATATTCATGACTGAAGCAACCTGAGAGCTCAAACCAATCACTATAAAAGTTACAAATTACGAGATAATGTTCAGTACCTGTTAAGAGTGAGTGTGTAAACTTAAAGAAACTTAAGTGTCTACCCAATGTAAGATGTCTTACCTGTAGTTTACATTCCTTGAAAATGTACATCTGTGTTTCAATAAACCTCAATTCAATTTTAGTGCACTTTTTTTTCATGCAAATAAAAATGTCTATATTCAACTGTAAAACTTTGTCGTCATGCCAGGGAGAAAGCCTCATTGATGCAATGGTTTTGGGCACAAAAACTTAAGGAATTTTCATCTTTTGCTGTTTTAATTTACATTTGTTTAGCGATTCATTGTAACATACGTGACAATAGGCCAACAAGTAACTCTCACAAATGTCACAGGGTAAAGAAAAACCCTAAACACTGGGCAGTGTTTTCCCTGACTGACATCATAACAACAGCACCCTCTTTTGTCTGGGAAGGCGTAGACAATGTTAAGAAAATGTGCCTTTAAATAAACTTTAACCCCACAAAGATAAGATGTCCAATTGTCTTCATGCACTGAAGAAGAACAGACAGTATCAGCACAATGAATCGCCTACACCCTTGAAGATTTCAATTTCATAAACTTATTACTCGGCTCAAGTCTAACACGAAGTGACTACATATTACCGTGGTAACATGAAAGCTTGATCTTGGAGATGTCCATCATTCCGGCAAAGCTGATGATGAATTCTTGCGGGAACATCCCTGTACTGATCCAAAAGGTCTCGGCTTTGCTGTGGAAAGAGTGCCGAATCTATTGTTGATATCTATTGTTAATTTGTTTTTGCTTGAATATCACACAAACAGGATGATCAAGCACAAAGTGAGAGGTGTAAACAATCTCTACGAGCCAATCCAGCATTTTAACAACACAAGGTCATTCAGGGGAAAAAAATCCTCACATTACACCCGCTGGAATTCATGTGTGTGTTGTGTACACTCCTTTGCTAAATAGCTAAAAAGATAAACAGCGAAAAAAAAAAAGTGCAGTGAAAGTCAAAGACTTCAGCGACCAATTAGTGATGGACACTTTCACCATGATTTATTTTCAGTGTGCACCTGTGACTGTGCATGTTTTGTGCCCTCGTCATCGTTTTTACCCCCCAATTTCCCTACTTAGGTGAGTCCAAAAGTTTGGAAGTTAGTTTCTGTTTTATTAGGCCTATAAGAAAAAAAGTTGCATCCTGACTCCATTTTTCTCATCATATATCATCTCAATAAAAGTCAATCATTGAAGAAATGCTGGGAAGACACAAATTCTGGACTGAGAAACATTTAAAGGTGTTGTTGGGAAATACTTAGAAAATTCTCTTCACTCCCCATTGACTTTGTACACAACTACTGAAGTGATGCAATATTTTTTCCAGCCTCTATTTTATAAAGGGGGTCTGCAAATACACAAATCCCCTAAATTTTAAGTTTAGGATATGGTATGGAAACAAACTGCGCCACCTACATTTCAGGGCTTTTTGATTCAAAAAAATCCCCATGCCCCAGGTTGAAAGGTGACAGTAATCGTCGTTGGAGGAATATGAAAACGCATGTTTTTATTCCTCCATGCTCACACTACATGGACTAGGGCGGCCGCAATGATTGTTATATTTTGATAATTGTAATGATTATGTTATGTTTAACATGTTTGAAAATAAAGGCTACTTACCCATCCAACATGTTTTCTGGAGGATAGCTTTCGTCACTCGAGGTCGCCAGAACGACTTTCGCTCCAGCTTCACTCAAAGCAACATCGAACATAATGGCTACTTTCGATCCCTCAAGATGGTCAAAACGCCGATTCTAGTTTGTACATGCATTCGGCACTAACATACATGTACGTGTACATGGTAATTGTAAGTACGGCAATATGCATAGCTGGCGTCCTAGGCCCTGTGCACTTGGTTACTTACAGTATGTAACCTTTGACATTATAACCAGTAGTCTTTATTCATATCGCAACTGACACGAGGGAGGGAACCGACTGGCATAGTCTAGTTCATAGTTATTTCATGGTTATTTGTCGAGAGCGAGCAAGACAGTCTACAGCTGAGGCTCGAGGGCCTCTTCCCAAGCCAAAAAATGGAAAAATAAAAAAATGGAAACAGGTAAAAGGGAAAGACAAAAGGATCGAGGTGAAAATCGCCACTTTCTACTAAAATTTCTCTGCACTGGCCCCGTGTTGCCTTCAAACAAGGCTGTAATTGGATCGATACAAACCCATGGAAAAAGCATTTCTCCGTGACTGACCAAACTAAAGCATTCAAAGTAAAAGAAAGTCATTTTCAGATCTGTTTGTAGGGCTAGTACCAACTGTTGCC